AGATTAGTACCATATAGTCCAGGCATAGTAGGCTATACTATCTAGGTTTGTGTAAGCACACTCTAGGATGTTCGCACAACGACCAAATCACCTTACAAGGCATTTCTCAGAACACGTCCCCATCGTTAAGCTGACGCATGACTCTAGTAGAGAAACTTGCCTCCACTTCATTGAGAAAGTGAAAACCACCGGGTGTGAACTGCCCCAGCTTCTCCCACCCTTTTCTTACAAACTTACTCACATCGCTTCCCACCTTAATCTGCTACCCCAAGACCTAGAGGAAGAGGTGCCTTTCCCCTGCTTCCAGTAAGCTATCTCACGTATGCGGTCGATGTCTTTCTGTTCCCTAACGTCTCCTGTAAAGCCTTGTTCCATCATTCATCCTTCCCTCTTCAAGACAGGCAACCTCCACCGCTCCTAGCTCCTGTCCCTTACCACCACTCCTGTCCTAGCACCCTTCCTGACAGTGTATCTCCTCGAACTGCTCTTCTACCCTCTCCAGACTTCTTACCCAACCCTCCTGAAAGATTCACCTACACTTGCAACTTCCACTTTCTCACCTCTCACTCCTCAACTCCCTGTAGCATCTGCTCCCACTAGTCTAATAAAACATTCACCGGCTATAATTTAGTTAAAGACGCAGATCCTGGATTTAAGCGGAACTGTATTTGACTCCTGCCTCCTCCACTTATAAGCTGGGAGACCTTGAGCATGCTTGCTGCTTAATTTCCCTGGGCATCAGTTTCCTCATCTCTAAAATAGGGATAATAATAGTAACCAACTTCACAGAGTTCTTGTAATATTAAAGGACATAACATATTTAAAATACTGAATTGTGTCTGCACATGCCATGCGCTCAATAAATATTAACTATTAACATTATTACTAATACTAGTAGTGTTTGCATTTTAATGATTACTATCATTATTGCTTTTCAATATTGTTATGCTAGGTCTAGCTAAAAATTGTGAACTTAAACTCATGCAGCCAAGAAAAACTACTTTGCAACCTCCGTGTACAATGTGTCTTATCTCTTGGCCTAGGATAACCTTTTCTATCTTCACACTAGGATCTGCTCCTAGGAATCTCCTCTCCATACTGATTCTGTATGACTCTAGTCAGTTCAGTTCATACATACACACACACCCACACACACACAGATTAGGTAAATTTATTTGTGTCATGTGGACCAATATGAAACTATTTAATTAGCTGAATGCAAGAACTTTAACCTATGCTGCCTTTGCAGCAACAAAGGTATCTATACCAACGTTCTATGTGCAGCTGGAAGTCAGTAATTACTGATGGACAGATAGTTGTGTAAAACGACTTAGTCCTTCCCATCATCAGTCACAGCAAGAACAGAAAGAATATTTTTAGCATCATGTTTGAATCCTACCTGACAACTTGGAAACTGCAGTAATTTGAACCTACGCAGGCAATGAAAGGAATGCTTTATGGTTGGTTCACCAGAAATTATACCTAATGGTCATTTACATTCTGTGATAGATCACTAAGAAGGTTAGCACGGACCACTCATTCCCTTCCCTCATCTCTTTGCTATTCTCAGTTTCTTGTTGTCACAAGCTGTGTCTGGCAATATTTTTCTTAACTGGGAGGAGGCAATAATAAGCAAAGGCAATTGTAACAGGTATGTTCAGCAATGAACCAAATTGCACAGCAAGATCTCATCCCGGTGACAAAAACAGCTTCACTAAGGCATGTAGTTTTGTTTGTCTAACAATTTACTTCTTGGAATGAGCTCGTAACTGCCCACATCCCAACCAGCACTGTTAGGTAAAGCTTGCTTTCATTGGACATATTAGAGTGGGGTGCAATTGGGAGGCACCTTCTCTCTGGCATCTCATGTTGGGATCCTGCACACTGACCTAATTCCTCTAGAATTCAACAGTGATTTACATTACAGGCAAAGAAAATCATTCCTCGTTCTCTCTCTACCTTTAAAACCTTTCCTCTTCTTTTCTACCAATATTTCAAAACCAATTTGGATCCTAAAAGTCTGTTTGAAATCAGTTAACTAGAAGATGAAGAATTTACATATGGAAGGCGGGACCATGGTAGGGATGATGATGATGATTAAATAGCTAATATTTACTAAACATTTATTTGCACTAGGCCCTCTGCCAAATACTTAACACATATTATTTGCTTTAGTCCTCACAACTGTGAGAGGCTGACATTATTACCCCATTTTTACATTTGAGAAAACTAAGCAAGTTAAATAACTTGCCTAAGGTCACACAACTAACAAGATTCAAGGCTGAGATTCCAAGCCAGGTCTGTCAGAAGCCAAAGCCCATTAATACTATAAATCACATGTCATAATCACAAATTCTTTTTCTGTGACCTAATTTTAACTACAGTTTGTATAAAATTAGATTTAAGCTTGATTTTATTATCAATGGTCTGCTGCAGCAAATCTATATATTTCCATATTAGAAAATTAAGTTCTCCATTTAAAAAATAGGAAAAGGACATAAACGGCCAAATGAATTCAAAAAAAGCAAATATTAAATTTCACGTATATAAAATTAAAGGGACTTCAATTCAGTTCAAGAAATAGTAACCTAGTGATATAATGTACAAGGCCTTGTAAGAATTCAAAGATTGATAGCATTACCCTTGCCCCCTGAGAAGCTAATGATCCAGTGGGAGAAACACAGTGTAACATTTCAAGTCTTACTTCAAATGTCATCTTCTAAGAGAAGTCTTTCTTGACCATGCTATCTAAGCTGTCACCCCATTCCCTGTTACTTTCTATCACAGAGATCAGTAAACTTTTCCTGTAAAGGGCCAGATAGGAAATAATTTAGGCTTTGCAAGCAATACGGTCTCTGTCAAAACTACAGTTCTGCTGTTGTCCCTTGAAAGCAGCTATAAACCATATGTAAGTGAATGAGCATGGCTGTGCTCTAATAAAATCTTATTCACAAAACAAGCAGTAGGCCAGACGTAGTTCATAGGCTGTAGTCTGCTGACCCCTACTTGAACATATCACTCTGTTTTTTCTTTCATAGCACTTAACAAAATCTTAAATTATCTTGCTTATTAATTTATTTACTATGTCCCTCCACAAAAATGTCAGCTCCAAGAGAGTGGGGTCCTTGTTGCTTGTTCACAGCTTGCTCTCCAGGGCCTAGAAAGGAGTACCTGACACACAGTTCACTCTAAATATTTGTTGATTGACTAAACGAATGAATACCATTTCACAAAAGGAGAAACACACATTGCCAACAAATATATGAACCATATTTGGCCTTAATAACAATAAAAATAAAATAAGTGAAAACGTCATTTTTAACTTGTCAGACCTACAATGGTTAGAAAAAGAGATGAAGGAAGTGGAGGAGGAGAGGAAGAAAAAGGGGCAGGGAGGGAGGGAGGAAGAGAAGGAGGAGAAGAGCTAGGTAGATGAATATATGGATAAATTGGCCCTCTCATCTACTGCTGATGGGAGAGAAAATTGGTGCAACTTTTCTTGAGAGCCATTTGCAAATATACCCCAAAATGTATATGCGAATTCAAAAACGGGCAAAAGATTGAATAGACATTTCTCCAAAGAAGATACACAAATGGCAAATATGCATATGAAAAGATGTTCAGCTAAATTAGTCGTTAGAGAAATGAAAATCAAAATCACAATGAGATACCACTTTACACCCATTAAGATGGCTATCATCAAAAAAACCCCAGAAAATAACAAGCGTCGGTGAGGATGTGGAGAAATTGGAACTCTTGTGCATTGCTAGTGGGAATGTAAAATGGTGCAGCTTCTGAGAAAAACAGTTTGGGGGTTTCTCAAAAAGTTAAATATGGAAATACCATATCTATCAATTCCACTCCTAGGTATGTACCCAAGGAATTGAAAGCAGGGACTCAAACAGATACTTGTATACCCATGTTTTTAGCAGCATTATTTACAATAGCCAAAAGGTGGAAACAACTCACATGTCCACCCACAGAAGAACGGATCAACAGATATGGTATATACATACAATGAAATATTATTCAGCCTTAAAAAGGAATGAAGTACTGATACATGTTACAACATGGATGAACTTTGAAAACATTGTGCTAAATGAAATAAGCCAGCCACAAAAGGACCAATATTGTATGATTCCATTTATACGAAGTACCTAGAATAGGTAAATAGCAGAACAGAGGTAGAAAGTAGAATAGAGGTTACCAGGAGCTGGGGGAGGAGGAAATGAGGAGTTATTATTTAATGGGTACGAAGTTTCTGTTTGGGATGATGAAAAAGTTCTGGAGATGGATGGTGGAGATGGTTGCACAACATTGTGAATGTACTTAATGCCACTGAAGTGTACAGTTAAAAATGGTTAAAATTGTAAATTTTATATTATGTACACTTTACCACAATAAAAAATGTATATATTCTTTTTTACTCCAAAATCCTATTCCTAAGAATTAACTCCAAGGAGATAATACAGAAGGATGAAATATGTATGTACTAGAATCCATCAACCTCAAGATCCATGAATAAAGATCTGGTTATGTAAATAGATCCTGACACAACAAATACACAAAAGAGACTATTATAAAGGCATTAAATAGAACAAGGTAGACTTTTCACATAAAAATATGTCTATAACAAGCAAGTTACAGAATGCATGTATAGCATGATCCCATTGATGTAAAATTTCTGAAGTTTATCTGTACATGAAAAAAAATTTGAGATATTCTCCAAAATATTAATAGTGGTTATTCTCTGAATGGTAGATTTGAGATAATTTAAAAATTATCCTCTTCTAAATTTTCCACACTAGTTGATTTTTTAACAAAGAATATTTTAACCAAAATAACATGCTATTATAAACTTATGTTTACCATTTTTTCACTTGAATTAAGGAAGGTTAGGCTCTTGATACTTTCATAATAGATGTTTTCTGAGTTTCTATTTCCATAGCAACAATAATACTTGTGAGAGAATCAGACACAGTTTTAAAAGAGATACATACCTCAGATAGTGGTGTTATCTCTTTATCAGTCAGAAACAGAGTCATTATTTCAGAGCAACATTCAATAATCATGTTCTAGAAACAAGAAGACAATATAGTGAGGTTGAACTTATTGGTAAAATATTAGATATTTTAATTATAAACTATTTATTTCTTTCATCTTTTGTTGCATCATCATCTAACCGTAATTCTCAGGATGAGACTTAGAGGGACTCAGAGGTCACAATCCCCTAAGTAATTAGGGTTATTTGAAAAGATACAGAATGGCCACAAAAGCTAAGATTTAATTATGAATAAAACATTATTTTAGGATTCTTTCCCTGTTCATTCACTGTTAAAATTCACATGATACAGAAGAACAACAAGCAAGGTAATTCACACCAAAATAAGATTCTGGAAAATTACTTTTCTTCTGAGAAGACAGCCCTGGAATAAAGAATTTAGATTCCAGAAGGAGGATGAAACAGAGAGGAATGTTTGGGAATTGGGAAAGAAATGGAAAGAGTAAATGAAGAGGAAGTGAGAATCAATATCATACGTTGTCTATTGTTGATGACACTACCATGGCCCCACAGCTACATTTATGTGTGGACATCTGACCCAAGAGGGATCTACCCACAGACAGGGTTGAATCAATCAAGTTCTCTATCATTATAATTTCATATAAAGAAGGACAACAGAAGAGAGCTATAGCCAGTACTGGCCGAATGAGCTGAAAGGTCCTGATCGGAGTTGGAGAAGGCAGCCATTGGGCCAGATGTAAGACGAGTGAGAGGAGGAAACAGACATGAGTGAGAACTTACGCCCCCTGGGGACCCAGCACAATCTTGGTTTCCAACTCTCCAGTTCCGTTTTCTGTGTTTTGTTTCCAGTTCTTGGCTATGCGTGAGCTTACTTGTTATACTGTGTCCAACACCACCTCCCCACCAAACCTACTTTACTTAAGCTACTGTAAGTAGTTTGTCTTTACTTACAGCTAAAGGAGTCATGACTATAAAACTGTCAGAGACAAACTATGCCTACTTCACAATGTGCCAGTGTCCAGCCTGAAAGGAAGCAATGATTTGTTTTTATGGTAGTATCAATATACACATATACTAGCATTCAGAAATATTAAAAATTAATATACTTTTATCATTTTAAATTATAACTGACTGATGCTGGTTAAAACCTTAAAATAAAGAAGCAAACAATTGAACCCACAGCCCAAAACCATGTTATATCTAAGTTTTAATAAATGCACAAACATAGAAAAGATCAAATTTTAGACTTTGAAAGCTATAGCTAATTCAATTCAATTTAACAAATATATTCAAGGCATTATATTAGGTGCTATGGGACACAAAGATGAAGAAACAGACACCATCCTCACAAAGCTCACAATAACTGAGAAAAATAGATTTGTACACAACTAAATAAAATACCAATAGAATGTGGTCAGACCACGGGTAGTTTAACATGTTATAGGGGCCTAGAGGTGGGAGAGAGTAATTATAAGTACAATGAACAGGGAGGACTTCCTGGAGAAAGGATCATATGAACTGAGCCTTGAAACAGTAGTAGGATTTCAACTGGCAGAGAATGGGGACAAGGGCATTCTGGGTGCAGGAAGCCATGGAAGCAAAGAAACACTGGGCATTCAAGGAACATAAGGGATCTGATATGGTCTTTACTGCGGGCATGTAGAGAAAAGATGGCAGTAAGAGTGGTGAGAAATAAGGCTGGAAAGGTAAACTTACAACAAGACACGTGGCAGTAAGGAATCTGGATTCTGTTGTGTGGGAAATTGAGAGGCACTGGACTGAGGGAATAATATCCAATTGCTTTAAAAAGATAAATCTGGCCACAGTTTAAAGGTGAACTGGACTGTTCTCACCAAAAGGTGAGACTTAAATGTGAGCTTAAATGTTTTCACCAAAAAAAAAGGTGAACTGGACTGGGAAGAGACAAGAAAAAGAGAAACCAGCTAGCAGCCTGCTCAAACTGTATGGGCAGGGAGTGATCATGGCTAGAAGGAGCCCAGCTTCAATGGGATCAAAAAGGATAGAGGGCAGGCATTTACCCAGCACTGATCAGGATAGACCAGTTACCTATGATGAACTTTCCAGGCTCCTGGTCCACTTCACTGGACAGAGAAGAACATACATCAACTCCTATATTCCTCTTATTTATCTATATTTCTATATTTCTGAGTTCCTAGAACTGGTTAACGTATGTTTTTTTCCTACATAAAAGGTTTCAATAATAGCCATGTTAGGTTACTGTCATGATTTCATCAAGAGCTACCAAGCAAAATGATACTGTCTATATCATTAATCATTTCACGTAATAGATGAAGACAGCAACATTACCTGATAAATGCCTCCTGCTGCCTGCCTCAACATTTATCAAACAGAAGTTTCGCCTCAACAACATTCTATTTCTCTGGTATTATTTGAGGTAAACCACATACACATATCGGAAACTGGCTGATTCGATGTTGGACTGTGAGGGAACTCACATGACCTTGTTACCACAGAAATGAAGGCAAGGAAAGGATTGAGCTCCTTGGCCCCAGTCAGAAAGCTGCTGGAGGTGTGCTGTAGTTGGCAAGGGGGCTGGGAGAGCACAGAATGACCCTTGCTCAATCTTTGCAATTTCTCCCTTAAAAAGGAGCATCTGTTGATTTTATGAGAGATGGCCCTCTGAATTACTTCAAAAATAACAAAGCCAACTCTTTGACTTAGTTGAAATCCTCATCATCTTTAACCTATAGTACAGAAGAAAGTTTCAAAATTGTTTTCCATCCTCCGAACTCTTGCTTCCCTCATCCCTCCTTCACATGCCACCAGGCTTATCTTAGCAAATTGTAGGGTGAGGCATGAGATGCCCTTCCAGGTGCTGCCTCACCTTCTCCTATCCCCCACACCCAGCCCTGCTTTGCCACGGCCCTTTCCTGCAGAACAATGTTCATTTACCACCTATTTGTTCAACATCTATTGAATGCATCCTAAGTGCCATGGAGTGGTAATGAACAAGAAAGAGAGAGCCCTTAAGGAGCTCACAGTCTACTGAGAGGAATAGGAGAGACACTCTTACAGCACGATGTGGTGAGATCGGAGAGGATCTCAGTTCCACCCACCTCTTCAGCCCCATCTCCCACTACATTCACCCTCTGTTCCTGCCACGACAGATGTCTCATGGTCCCATGAATATAATATTCAGTTTCATGACTTCACATCTCATCTCTTGCTGTATCCTCAGTCAGGAATGAGTGCTCTCCACACGTCTCCAACTAAAAGTTTCACAAGCAACTACTGAAGTGGCACTATGTTTCAGTTACTGGCCTCGATATTGGAGATAAAATGATGAATAAGACCCCTGAGCATAGGAATTCACAGTAAGAAAGAGAAAGAGATACATATACAGATAATTGCCAAAAAAAATACAGTGTGGGCCCAGGATATTTTGACGTGCAAGGGAAAATGGCCTTTATTTTAGTCTATAGGGGCTATACAGTGCTGTCTGAGCTATTTAAGCAAGGACAAAGTCTAGCTCGCTCAATTTCTCTCTCTCTCTCTCTCTCTCTCTATCTCTCTACACACACACACACACACACACACACACACACACACCCCTATGTGAATGAGATTTCAAAAATGATAGAATAGTTTGCATCAATAGCCCCACCACTGAGAAGGAAGGATTCCAGCAATCCTGACCTTTTGTATAGTGCGGAACCCAGGTAAGGGGGGGCACGGGTAAAACTGGAAGAATTCAGAGAGACTAAGTTGAACTACATAATAAGGAGCTAAGCCAGAGCAGGAAGGGAGAGGAAACAAAGCACTCCAGGCCGACAGAGTTGGAGGGAAAGTTTTAGGAGTTTGAGCCAAATGAGACAGATGTTGGAGAGCCGCTGTGGATGTCAGAGAAATACTAAGAGCAGGACAGTTGGGGAAAAGAAGTTTTTCTCTGTGTTATGCAAAGATTCCCTCTCAGATGTTCTCACAACAGACTCTGTAAAGATTTAGATTATTTTCAATGGTTTTGAACATCAGACAGATGTTTCTTTGAAAGCCATATTTTGCTAAGAGAGGGCCACCAGGTGGCTGGGCTCATTATGAATGATATCTGGGTACCTATGACCATACTCATACAATGATAAAGCTCCTCCATGACAGGGACCCAATTGTACTGATTTCTGTATGTCGTCGCCTCTCCAAGCCTGGAAAGATTTTGCACATAATACTTTCTCAAAAAGAACAGTTTCGCAAAAATTTGCACATAATATTTTCTCCAAGCCTGGAAAAACTTTGCACAAATAGTTTCTCAAAAAAATTTTGCACATAATAGTTTCTCAAAAAAAATTTTGCACACAATAGTTTCTCAAAAAGTATGATGCTAATGTCCAATTGTATTTTGTTCTATGTTTTCATAGTTCTTTGATATTTGGAATATGTTGACCACATACTAATTTTAATTGCCTTGTACAATCCAGGCATTCCATACACGTTTGCTAAACTAACCTTAGGTGACATGGTAAACATATTTTAAGCTTTTCATATCTGTACAATATCATTCCAAAAAGGTGTTTGTGTCTTAAACACAGTGGTTTGCATCTTTCGTATGCATTAAAGCACCTGATACATTCTGAAGATATCCCTAAAGCTGTGAATGACAGGGTAAAATAACTCAGTCATTCTGAGCCAGTGTTGTTCATTTTAGAAGAAGGACATACAAGGTTTTCAAGCCAGAAGTGATTAAAACACCTGTTCTTTAGCCCTCCCAATATATCTTAAATTGATATCTGTGTTCTGAGGTTCTTGGTTTATTCCAGACCATAGGGCTTTGGAGAAGAAAGAGGAAGGAAAAAAAAAAAACAAAAAGGAAAGGAATGAGAAAGAGAATAAGATTCACTACCTCCCATATCAACCAAAAGCACATTTTCTGGACTCTTATATTTAATAACCCACCAAAAATCTATACTGTGATAGAAATAAATACATTAGATTATAGAGGTTATGAAATCCTGTTCAATTCCCCACCAGAATCGATCTCTTCAAGTGTCCTAGTTAATTACTAATTAGCTCCAAGTGAAGGTTGTCATGACAACGAATTGGCAGATTTAGTCAATGGGATTTACTTGATATAACCCAGAATCTAGTTGCTTTTTTTTTCTTAAGTGTTGGTTAGTATACTTGGAAAAAAGAAAACTTTATATTTTCTTTCCATTTCTCAACTTTTAAATGCTGTGAACTAATTTAATTTGTTTGCTAATTCACTTAAACAAATATTAGTTTTCCTCCCATTTCGCGACATTCTCTCATATACAGAACTAACAGAACTGGAAAATATCTAAAAATGCCCTACTTAAAGCTAAAGAAACACTTTCTAAGTTGGAGAATAAAACAAATTCAAAAATACAGAGGAGAACGTCAGGATTGAACGGAGTTCATTCTACTCAAGGACTGACCCAACCACATAGACCATACTAGTCAGGACATGAAAGCAAGCCACAAAACTTGGTTAAGGTGAGGTAGGTCCTCTGCATTCCCCCCTCTGCTTACATTCAAATGCCCCCCTTCTCTGCCCCCAATTATTCCTAATTTGTTTACATTCATAGTCAACCTCTTGGCTCAGACGCTGGGCTCATTGTGATAATTTGATATCTCCATCCCACCCCTAGGGAAATTCTGATGACTCACATTCCAACCAAGGGACCCATCTCTCCATTTCAGAGCAGTATTTGAATGACAGGATCATTTTTAGAAATGAGAGAAAAATTAGTCCCAGGAAAGGTTAAGTGACTGACCCTAGCTAGTAAAGCTGAGTGGCAGAGTCCAACCTAGACTCTTACTTACTCTTATGGATGCTCACTCTCCTGCCTCAGACAATCTAAACTGAAAAAAGAAATGGGTTCAGGAGAAAATAATCATTTTTCATATATGAACTATATAGAAGTGGACTTACGGACAATTTCAGCAAAGAATATTCTAGACTATGGCTCAAAGACAGCCATCTGGTAAGTTTGGTCTATGACTGAAAAACTGCGATTGCAAATGATCTACAAAAGAAGTGCAAAAATGACATGAGAGCTGAATTCTTCTTGAAAACAGACATGAAAGGGCAACCATGCATTTTATGAAAAGAAATATATACATACGCATATATAGTATATATAATCTCATGAGTTCGAGATATCTGGTCTATTGGGAGATCTATTATAAGCACTCAGTGTATCAGTAATATCATTAAACATTTGGTAATTCATGCTGTAACATCTGAGGACACTGAAAAGGATGTGCAACCCAAAGTCTAAGACACCAGTTCTGTGATAAATCCAAGCACAGAGCAGAGGAGATGTAAATGCTGGAAAGTGGCATTTTGCAGAGGCTACCTGTTCTTGCCTGATGAATCCTCTTACAGCTGGGCTTGCTGCTTTCACAGTGATGGAGAATGCATTCATGCACTCTACCGGTAAATTCAGACTGAAAATGCCAGTAAGTATACGCTGAAAATCAGGAGAGTTGCCAGCTTTTAAACTTCCACATAATGAATGCGTAGATGAGGTGAACAAGAAAACAAAAAGAGCCATACCAATAATATTCTTTAAGAATTAAAAATGTTTTGTTATTGGTAACAAATTGACTATTAACCTAGCAGAAAGCGATTTAAGAAAAAAGATACAGCAGACAAAAAAAATAAAGGGAAGATCCTAAAAGCTTTCAGAGCAGGAAAACAGAGATAGGACCCAAGTGGTTGGGAATTCAAGCAGGAAAATGTGAAGGGAGGGCCCAGGGTTAGAGCTGTGCCGCAGGCATTGGGGGCAAGAGTCTTCAACGAGAGCGGGAGGATGGGGGCTTCCAAGAAGAAAAAAGGGAATTGAGACATTTATTTGATAAGCACGAATACTTGGGTAAAAATCCGTGGATGAACATGAGAAAGATCTGATGCAATGCCCAGAAAAAAGTTAATGAAAAAAGACAAGTCAAGGAAAATCAAACCTTATGCGAGAAAGGAAAATAACCATAGTACACTACTTGACTTAGCCGTGAACATTGTTTACAGGGGCATCGTGATGTAAACACTGAATACTGGTTTCACTAAATTCTCTGATATAACAATATTTAGAAGGGAAGGGGAAAGGAGAAGTTGCGAAGAAGTATAAGTAAGCCAAATTCTTCTATACCATGATAAAATCAATATTATCTGAAATTCATACATCAAGAGAAAAAGAATAATTATTTGTAGCTATTAGTACTATTCATCAATATTTCCGGCTTTCCTCCTTCCAAGCTGGCAGCATGTGACTCATTTATAAGGCCAGCGAGATGTTAGTGGAAGTGATATGATGGAAACTTTAAGAGCCAGTGTGTGATTTGCCCCCTCTCTTCCCTCCCACCACAGTGACTGGCGATATTCCTTCTGGGCAATCTTTGTTTATATTTTTGGAGGCACCCTGCCTGCAGGACTGTTAGTCTCTGCTCTTGCACGCAGTAAGCCTGGAGAGGGCAGAAGGGGAGTGAGGAAACCCTGTGGCTACACCGGTGTGCCAGATGGCTGTGTGACTAGGTGGGCAAGTCTGGCTAATTCAGAGGTGAAATATTAACAAGCTCATTTGGTCACAAATCTAAAGCTATGTTTTCTAGTCAGCTTTATCAGTAATGATGCTGACATTTTGGTCTCCATATATCTGTCTCCTGTGTCCCGTTCCTCAATGGGTTCCCGACTCAGGAGGGGTACGGAAAGGGTATGACCCTTTCCTCCAAAACACAAACATCAGTCACCACAAAAACCACTCAACCGTGTGATCAGATTAATAACATACTATAAGGATAACGCCTTTTTTTTGGTTAGAATATACATATGCATAGAAAAATCTGAAAGATATACGCTTATCTGTATTTTCTAGTTTTTCTTCACACATTACTTAGGTAACAAAAATGTCCAAATAATAGAGCTACAGTGAAAAATTAAAAGTAGTGTTATAAAGTTATAGAGCATTGTTTCTTGGAATTCACAGCTATATCTGAATGATTTCTCTAGATTAGCTTTGTTCTCATTCACCATCAGATTCTTATAATTGGCATGCTTAGAAGAGTTTTGACGGAAACACTACATGTGTCCAAAAGTTGGGTCATATCTGGTACTCTAAGTAGAGAAAATAGAGGGAAGAAGAACCACAAAGTCCAAGTTTAGTTACATAGTTCTGCTTGGATGAACTAAAGAATAATTTTAATAATTATGTATAACGACATCCATCCTGCAATGGCAATGCACTTTTCCATTATTTAATAACTTACTTCCATTTCTTTATCAATTGATTTCTCTTCCATTTCTTCTATTTCAGATACAGTTTCATCTGAAGTAACTTCAGGAGTTGCTGGCAATGATATTTCAGCTATTTGCGTAAGATTAGACAGTTTCTCATGAATTGAAATAACTCTAAAAATAATAAATATATATGTATTTTATTTGAAAAGTTAAGAAAGGCATTCATTTATTCTCAGAATCAACAATAAATGTAAAGTAAGTCCTTAGTTATTTAACACTTAGATTTCTGGCATCCCCAAACATCATCCATTCAATCATTCCTTCATTCAAGAAACAACGAGCAAAGAGACACGATGCTAACCTGCATACTGTTTGTGATCTAGTTATCCACTCAGATAGATACATAATTACAAACTCGCAAAGGCACAATGAAAGAAGTGTATACGTCCAAAATATTGCTTAAGATGAAAACGAAAATAAATATCTACTTGGGCAAAGAAACTCCAGGCAATGACAAAAGATTTACTCCTACGTAAATCTTCATGCCCTGCTATGATTGTCTGGCTGACCTGAAGGTAAGAACTAGGACAAGTTAGCAATGGCTCTAAAAGACCAATGGATGAGCCCACAATAGTGAAGTGAATTATGTGGGGAGTAAGCGTAGGGAAAAGAATCAAGAAAGAAGGAAAAGCAAAAGCCGAGGAGGGCAGAGGACACAGTGGCAATCATGCTGAAGACAGAAAGCTTCCAGAGCACAGGTCAGTGAACAGTGGAGTCTCTGAAGACAGAGGTGAACTGGTGAGCGGAGTCAGAAGATGCAAAAGGCTTGAAACAGCTGAGTGAGGCAGCGGCCACCTTCACAGCCCCAGTGACTTACACTACGTGCACAGTGCGCATATGCATGTGTGTATATGTGTGTAGGTGCAGGTGTCTCCATCCAGGGAGGGGGGTAAATTTTTATGAAAAAGAAGTAAATGACCAAAAAAGCAAACTGACATCGGGAACATATGCAGGAACGTCAATTCTCCAATTTTCCACAGCGTTCTCTTACTTGGCCTTCTAAAGGACGATCAACGAGAGCAATTCCCCATGAACTGGTCTTATTTTGACCCTCATAAGGACACAGGGAATGCCACCTTGGGTGAGAGAGAGAGTCCATTTTCACTGTGCCACCATGGGATGGATCAGATGAAACATTGTTAGGCACCATCCTCTGTGATGGCCTCAGTGGCAAGGGTGTGCCCCTAACTTTAGTAACCCAACCATTGATCGTGAACACACCAAAATTACAAACTTTTTGGAACAAAAAAAGAATCTTGTCAGTTTGATTGCATTCTACTCTGCAGAAATTATAATCATTTTGATCATATGGCTCTGAAAAAAAAAATCTTGCCATGTTTCTGGATGTCCAAGGCAAGTGCATAATTTCCTAATGTTTTTGCTTAGCTGTGCTGGTTCCTGACCTGTGTCTACATTTTCTGCCATTTCACTGAAAAACAAAAAGAAAGAAAGAAAAAGAAACTTGACTGAATAATTGGAAGTATGCCAGCTCTTGAAACATTTCTTGTTCTATTCTCTTTCATGGCCAGGCCAAGGAGTCCTTCAAAATGAAAATCATGCAGCATGAACAAGACTCTCGGGATGGACAGAGAAGCACCAAGTCCCTGTTCACTAAGCACTTACTAGCTGCCAAGCAGGGCAAAGAGCTGACGCTGACAAAGCAGCGAGTAATGAGACTTGACACTTGCCCAGCGCTTTCAGCCTTTCAGAGTCTGTGCATACATTGCCTTGATCCTAACAATAACTTGAAAGGTAGGCAAAACAGGTGTTATTTCCATCTTACAACTGGGGACATGCAGGCTGAGGTCACAAGGGGAACGAACAATGGAATCAAAACTAAATTAACTAAACAATGAAAAAATAAATTAAAACAACAACAACAAGGAATTTGGTAAAGTGAAATAGGAAAAGAGAGACACCAGGCATGAGCAAAAGGTAGAAATATGCCCTGTTTGATGGAGAGGGAGGAAAACAACCCGGCTGAGGCAGAGACTGTTGACTTGGGGAACAATATAAAATAGGACTGGGTACAGAGGGAAGGGTGAGACAAGAGACGTGGCGGAGTTTGCGCTTAATTTTGCAACCCAATACAGAGCCATATTAGCCACGTTATTTTTATTTTTATTTATTTTTTTTGCTGAGGAAGATTCGCCCTGAGTCAACATCTGTTTCCAATTTTTCTCTTTTTGCTTGAGGAAGATTTTCCCTGAGCTAACACCTGTGCCAATCTTCCTCTATTTTGTATGTGGGTCACCGCCACAGCCCAGCCACTGACGAGTGGTGTAGATCCACAGCCGGGAACCAAACCCAGGCTGCTGAAGTGGAGTGCAGAACTTAACCACTAGGCCATGGGGCTGGCTCCCCTAGGTTATTTTTTAAACACGCCCAAAATTACAAACAAAATAGAGTATAGACAAAATCCTTGTACTATGTATAATCTTTATGAAGTGTCAGGAATTGTTCTTCCAACAAGCCTAGGTACTAGTATTATTGTTCCCATTTTACCCTTTAGGAAACAGAGGCACAGAGAAGTTAAGTAACTTGCTCAAGGTTGCGAAGGTAGTAAGGGGCACAACTGGCATTTGAACTAAGCAGACTGGATTCAGAGCTCATGCTCTTAACCACTACAATATCACACTCCTCTAAGTAAATGAAAGATTTTTCTAAAAGTGTCCTCTAAAAGTTCTCCTGCGATTTACCTTGTATATTACTGAAATAGCCTGTTCTTATGAAAATATCAGCAAAGAGGGATAAAGTTGTGGATAACCCATCTTTACTTGCCTGTTCAGAGGAACCCAGAAAGAGCCAACACATACATTGCTATGAGTGGTATATTTAGTATCTGAAATCTGCAGGGGCTTCGTATTATATGCATACAACAACAAAACCTGTAAGAAAATTAAAGGCATATAAAATGTGACATCAAAATTACACTTTGCCACAAAAAGTGCAGCATTGGTTCTCAAAATAATATCATTAAACTTCAAAAAGTTTTTCCTTGAAAGAGAAAAATGAGTTTTTTTCCAATCCACTTTAAAGTGAAATGATATGAACAAGAACTATGCAAAGGTTATGAGATGAAAAGAAATGCTGTTTGGTACCAATATTATACTATTTTTGGAAGAGTTATATTTCTCACAGCAGTTAAGTTTAAATTTCAGCCTTTGAAGGCCCTCTACAACAAGTTCTAAATATATACCTAGTGAATAGCCAACTTTTTTTTTCATGAGGAAGATTGTCCCCCTGCTAACATCTGTGCCAATCTTCCTCTATTTTGTATGTGGGACGCTGCCACAGCATGGCTTGATGAGCGGTGAGAGTGCATGAACTTAACCACTATGCCACCAGGCTGGCACCTGAATATCCAACTTTGTTTCTTGTTACTTCTCAATATGCACCTTTCCCATCAGTGGTTATGGCAGCTTCCATGTGTTCACTTATGCTGCTCTCTTCCTCTTCTCTTCAGTTATTCAATCCACATACAACTTTCCAGTCCCCATCTCTAAGATGAAACTTCTCCTTAATGACTCATGCTCTAGTAATTTCCCTATTGTCTGAATTCTGATAATTCTTAGAGTCGGCCCCATGGGATATAGCACCTATTTACAGTCATGGATTCATAGAATTTGAGATTCATAGAACCTTAGAGATGATCTGCTCTAAGACCCTCATTTTAGATATAAGAAAGCTGAGGCCAGAGCTGCCAGTCAAAATTGACTGATTAAGTGCATGCATTTATCTCTGCTTCATCACAAATCAAACTAAAATATGAGTAAAGGGATTTTTTAAAATGGTGTAAATCTACAAAGACAGAATGAACAAGAGAGGAGGTGAAGCAGACAAGATATATTAGCAACACCTTGAAGGACAGTAAGCACTTGGAAAAGTGTAGCTGACTCAGCAGAGAGGAAAGGCTGGATCCTAACTGCCTTCAGAGAGGTTGCCAACTACAAGCATGACTGAGAACCCTGAAAAGGCTCGGAGACAGGGGCGTCAGGGATCTTAGACAACCTCCCTCCCATCCCTTCTCTGAATCCATGCAACCAGGAGACTCCCCCTTCCCTTCCTGTCTCCCTGCTGGCTGAACTTTTTCCATCTTGTTCTCTGCTAAGGATAAATCAGAAAAGATCTATGCTCAGGGACATTAGGTAAGAGGTGTGGTACTGAACTGAAAACACTGGAATTAAGTGAAAGTCTGTATTCTGAACAAGAAATATCCCTTTACCACTCTAGCCCCTTCCCAGAATGTAGGAAAGCAGATAGGAATCTAAAAGAGTCCTCTTAGGGGAAATAGACAAGACAAAGAGAGAAGACCTACAGATACTGACATTTCAGCATCCTCCAACGAAACTGCTGGCTCCTGCCATTACCCTACAATGAGGTCTATAAATCAATAAGCCTGACCCCAAATCCTTCTTCGTGTCTCCGAACATGAATGGATAGCCAAGGGTCACTAGATGTGAAATGAAAGGCAGAGACAAAACTAATATAAGAAAAGAAATTGCAGAGTCAGATACAAGACAGAAAGGAGAAGAAAACTACAATGAAACCACAATTAATATCCTTAGAGAGAAGGAAGAAAATATTGCATCTGTGAAACCAGAACATAGTGCTGTTAAAATGAAACAATCAGAGAACAAGAAAGAGCTCTTAAAATAAATTACAAAATATGATCATAACAACTAAATAATCAATAAAAGATTTGAAATATAAAGTCGAATGTATCTCCCCAAAAGTAAACCTGAATTTAAAAACATAAATAGGGGAGAAAAGTAAACACTCAATGTAATAGCTTCAATATCTGAATAATAGAAATTCCAGAAGGTACAGAGATAATCAGAGGGAGGAAATTAGAGATAATCAGAGGGAGGAAACTATCAAAGAAAAAAAAATCTCCATGAACTGAAGAATATACTTTTCAGATTGAAAGGGGCACCCCAAGTATCCAGCACAATGGATGAAAGACCCACACCAGGGCACACCATGGAATTTCAGAACACAAGGGACAGAGGGAAGATCCTCAGAGCTTCCAGAAGAAAAATGTCAAAATAAAGAACTAGGGATCAGAATGGGATCAGACTTCTCAACAGCAATGCAGGATTGGTAGAGACGATGGAGCATAACTCACACATTTTGAGGGAAAATAATTTTCAAACTATAATTTTATGCCAAGAAAACAATGAATTAAGCATTAAAATGATGAATGTTTTTTTTTTTGGTAAGGAAGATTTGCTCTGAGCTAACATCCGTTGCCAATCTTCCCCTTTTTTGCTTGAGGAAGATTAGCCCTGAGCTAACATCATTACCAATCTTCCTCTATTTTGTATGTGGGTCACTGCCACAGCATGGCTTTACGAGTGGTGTAGGTCTGTGCTCAAGATCTGAACCCGCGAACCTGGGCCACTGAAGCAGAGTGTGCCGGACTTAACCACTACACCATGGGGCCAGCCCCTAAAATGATGACCTTCTGTCAGACATTTAAGGTCTTTTTACCTCCTGTGAGAGTACAGAATTAATCTCAGTCAGTTTGTTGCTACACTCTTAGCATCTCAGTGCACTGTAGTCACGGTGTTGGTCTTTGGTCAAAACTGAATGAAATGTACTAACTAATAATTAATGTAGTTCTGTCCTAGGGTCCGAAACACACTAGGAAGCAGCCTGTGCCATTCTGTCAGCATTTTTTGTAGAAAACATGCATATTGATGATTTGCATCTGGATTCTACTGTTATCTTCATTTCTTTTATTGAGTCTGGTCCCATGCATGGTTTTGACTATGTGAACAGAGAGATACATAAGACTCCTCAGATAAGACAGCAGCTTCCTTGAAACCAAGATGTCTCACCATATTTTGGTGGTTCATGATCCACAGATGAAATGTGTCCTGTGCCACTGAGAGAGGACCCCAGAAGCTGCTCCTGCACATTGCGAATCTCTCTCATGGTTATCTGTGCTTTCTTTATCCTGCAATGCCTTCCTTATTAAAAGTCTGTCAGGAAAATACTTTGTAGAGTCTGGTGAGTCCTGTGAATAATCAGAGCCTCCAATATACCCTTTCTCAGGAAACTGGAAGATGTGTTCATTTGACACGAGAGAGCAAATCAAGATAGAAAGAAACATGGGACACAGGGAACCCAGCCCAGAGGGACAGGAAGGAATTCTCAGGAGCAAGGTGAATGAGTTATTAAGATGATAGTTGAGCCATGAGAATAATCAGTCCAGTTTGGAGCATGTCTCTGAAGAAGAAAAAAATGGAACTGAGAAATAAGCTGATGAGTTTGACTATATGGAGAGGAATTGTATAGTTCTTTGAAAGTTTAGAAAGAATGAGAGATTCTAAAATACAGAGAACAAATACTAAGTTAAACAAAAATAAGGCAATTTTTTTCTTCAGGAAAGAAGAAGACAGGAAGAAAAAAATAGTACCTTATTGGCTCAGCTTTGGGTGATATTTACATGGTCGTAATGTAAAGACTGACTATGGTTTAAGAATTATGATAGAACTCGAGCAGAAGAATGTGCAGAGGAGAACGCTGTGTGTGAGGGGGGAAAAGAGGTTGACGTTAGCCTTCACCTTCCTTAGTAGTGTGTGAAGTTGATCACTCAAGAAATCACCTTGTGAGCACGTAATTGAGATAAATGGGGGAAAACACTCACCAAACAAAAATGTCTAAAAGAGTTTAAAGTAATTGTATCTGATGAGGGGAATTCAGGGGTAAGGACAGCTAGACAGAGAACTCTTTTTTTTAATTCATTAAAAGTCTTTCAAAACGTGATTTTTTTTAAACTATGGAAAATTTGATGAAACATTTCTGAAAAGAAAATGAAATGAGTCCCAGAGAGATGAGCCCAAGATCGCACACTGTCTCACGGTGTTTGCTCTTGTTTTGTGTTTGTTAACCTTCACTCCCAGGCCAGCATACAATATCCCTGAGGACAAGAGTGATAGCTGGTACTTTTTTAGTAGTGCTCACAGCACCTGGTGCATGTGGATATCTTCATGCTTCTGAAATTTTCTTACATCTGTTAAGAGCTAATGAAGTTCTCCCAAGCATGTTAATGGAAAAATTTAAATAGATAATGTGCTTTATATTTAACCCGTGATAATGAAAATGAATTTCTCCCTCCTTGGGCTGATACTTGTCAATGGCTTTGCAATATAATTTTAAAGACTTTTCTAACCAAGCGTGGCACAGACAACTGAATTCAAAGTATAGCAGAATGGACTTGAATAAAGTAGGGCAGTAGGTAAACAGTAAAACACTAACCTCGCTTGCATAGTTGTTGTGAGCCTGGGCTCTGGCGCTAGCCTGCCTGGGTGATCTTGGGAAAACTATGAAAACATTATGCCTCTGCTTCCTCATTTGTAAAGTGGAGATGTGGAATCCACATCCTGTGGATCATGTGAGGATTCCATGAGTCAACGTAAAGTGCTTAGAGCCACGATTAGAGCATTACTACTGTCGTTTTTTAGCCCCACGATCACTTCCGGCTCCTCCATCCACCTTGGTACCTCATTCTTTATATTCTCTTAGACCTGCTGCTAATCTCAAACCAACTTCCCATCTGATCTCCTAGCCAGTCCTTGTCTGATCCACTAGTGCTTAGTTCCATTCCCAACCTGTCCTCCCTCCTCCTGGGTGTTTCACTCTAAACCATCCTGCATACTCAGGACTGGATTCTGCAGGTGACGATACACCCCGGATGGAATTTGCAATGCTCCCTCACTCACTTTGGCAAGTGTTTTTTTTCAATGGTCGAGAAGTGACATGGTTTGGACAAACACTGAGGAACACTATATTTAAAATTGTCTTCTAGCTAGTCCACCAAGCAAAAAACAAAAATACATTTTTTGCAAAGAAAAAAAATAAAATAAAATTGTCCTCTGTG